AATAATAAATTTATTACTTCTCAATAATTTCTATCCAGAGGTAGAGATATCATACACGACGAGTTCAGAAGAAAAAGTGACGAATTATTATATGCGGTTCGGTCACTTGTTATGGTCCGCGAACCAGGTTAACCTCTTGCGCTGAAATGATGTGTCACGCACGTCGAGAATTTTTTCTCCCAAAATTGCAACATTTTCTCAGTTTTAACTATATCTAAGTATAACCCAGATGAAGCAAATAATAGATTTATTACTTCTCAATAATTTCTATTCAGAGGTAGAGATATCACACTGACGAGTTCAAAAAGAAAGCGAAAAATTATTGTGTACGGTTCGGTCACTCGTTATGGTCCGCGAATCAATTGCCAGCGCAAGAGGTTAAAACTCCTTGCGCTGAAATGACGTGCCATACACATTGAGAATTTTTTCTCCCAAAGTTGCAACATTTTCTCAGTTTTACGTATATTTAAGTATAACCCAGGCAAAACAAATAATAAATTTATTACTTCTCAATAATTTCTATCCAGAAGGAGATGTCATACCGAGTTCAGAAAGAAAGCGACAAATTATTGCGTACGGTTCGGTCACTCGTTATGGTCCGCGAACCAGTTGCCAGCGCAACGGGTTAACCTTGCGCTGAAATGACGCGCCACGTACGTCGAGAATTTTTTTTTTGTCCCAAAATTGTAACATTTTCAGTTTTACGTATATTTAAGTATAACCCGGGCGAAACAAATAATAGATTTATTACTTCTCAATAATTTTTATTCAGAGGTAGAGATATACTGACGAGTTCAAAAAGAAAGCGAAAAATTGTGTACGGTTCGGTCACTCGTTATGGTTCGCGAATCAGTTGCCAGTGCAGGAGATTAACTCCTTGCGCTGAAATGACGCGCCACGCACGTCGAGAATTTTTTTTGTCCCAAAATTGCAACATTTTCTCAGTTTTACGTATATTTAAGTATAACCCGGGCGAAACGAATAATAAATTTATTACTTCTCAATAATTTCTATCCAGAGGTAGAGATGTCATACCGACGAGTTCAGAATGTGACGAATTATTGTATACGGTTTATGGTCGCTCGTTATGGTCCGCAGTCGGTTTGCTAGCGCAAGTGGTCAAGCACGTAAATCACACTTAATTCTTTCTTTTCTTTTCATTCTCTGATGAGAGTCTCTCTGTGTGTATAACCTTCTCTCTCCGAGATGTATCATCAACGGGGCGAATCGCAAACAGAATGCTAATTACGAGACAAGGGGTAAGCGACACGGCTTCGATTATCGTTCCTCGATCGGTCATTCGAGACGCGGACCCTCGTTTCAGCGACGTAAGCACGGTACTTTAAACAAAAGCGAAGCCCGTTTCCTATCGCATTATCGGCGGCTCGCGGCCTCTCTCCTCGCTTTCTTTCCTCTAATTGAAACTTTCCTAATTGTCAGCAAGAGCCCCAGTGCAAGTATCACGCTCGGTTCCGTCTCGCCGTCTCTTTCTACGATCGACAGACGCGTTTACTTCCCGGTGAAAACCTTTCGATCGACCTTTGTCCTCGATCGACTGCGATTCTCCCACTCACCCCGAGGGAGTTCTCGACGTCTCTCCAGCTGAGGAAAAAATTCCCGCCAAGATAAATTCGAGCTGGAGAGAGAGAGAGAGAGAGAGCGAGAGATGGAAGAACCTCTCGGAGATTCGAAGGTTTCAATTTGTAATAAGGGTCAAGTTAAACACGGTATTTTCAGCAGTTCGAGGGAGCGAAAGAGAGCGGGGGGGAGAAAAAGAAAAGAAACAGCCGAATAATTTAATTTTGACGTACCTCGTTCGCTGATGGAACCGGAGAACAAGTTTCCGGTTTTAGCGGGGACTTCCCTCGACCATAAGTTCTCATTGCACGGTTCTCGTTCTTTTTTTTTTTCTTTTTTTTTTTTCTTGTTTTTTGAAGTTCCGCGGAGATGAAAATTTATTTGCCAACTTCTTTATGCTCGAACGCAGAACGGGGAGATTACTCTAGCGCGTTGCGAGAAGTGATGTTAATTTTTGCAGCCGGCGAGCGAAAGTATAATCATTAAATATATATATAATTCATATCGAGTTTCGAAAACGTGGATGTAACGAAAAGATGGATGTTTGTATAAACATATCTGATCCATTCCGCTTTCTTCCTTCATTCCACTTCATTTTATTTTATTTTATTTTTTTCCTTTTTTTACGAAATTTTCGTCCCACGTGTTATGCGATACCTCGTTCGTGAGAAAAATTCGTTTAACGACAAGGGAGGAAATCTTCGGCGATCGGGTGAAAAGGAAAACGAGCGATAGATTATACAGGAAATTTGAAAACGAGTGCTTAACTAAGGGAGATACACGTACGAGAGGGATGTATGCAAGGTTCTAAGTTGAAAGCGATCGCTTCAAAGAGAACAACCGTCTGCACCGTCTACGGCGATAATTTTCCCGGTTAGCACGTCATCGGTTAAAACGACCTTGCCTATAATTAGGCAGCGCGTAATATTCAACGGTTTATTTGCATAATCGAGGAAAAGAAGACGACGAGGAAGGAGGCCCTCAAAAGACGCTTCTAAATAGGAAACGCAGTCTCTCGTCCTCCGAATACCGTATAATTAATACGCCGTCTTGCCGCTGGCTAGAACGTACGTTCTTAAAATTGAAAAAATGTCCGTCAACGTCGTGTGCCCTGCTTTGTAAGCAGGCGAGATTATTTGTGAAACGAGCTTCTGAAACTGAATCACCTTTCTCTCTTCTGCGAAATTGTCTCTTATTTATTAAAAAAAGAAGAAAAAAGGATCGCGTTTCGTCAAGTTTTTCAAAATTGAAGTTTTCGAAATTAATTTACAGATAATAAATTTCAAAAAATTAATAGAATTCACTGGTGTTTTAATTGACAGAGGAACAATCTTACGTCCACGGTGTTCATATGACAAATAATAAATTTCAAATATTAAATTAAAATTAAGAGTAGAGAAATAACTAAAAGTCAACGAGTTTTCTTATTGGCAGATTAATGGATAATTTCATGTCTGTGGTGGTGTATGATAAATAAACTTCAAGAGTTAAATTTCAAATTAAAAATAGAAACAACTAGAAGTCAACCACTCTTTTTTTTCGTGTATCACCCGGTATAACATCATCGCAATAAATTTCGTCAGGAATCGATGAGAGAGCGTGCTCCTGGTGCGCGATAGTGGATCATTAAAGCCCGCAATTTGGTTTTCCCATTGAATCGATGAAAACGAGTAGCTAATATTTTTAGCAACAGCCTGGAGCGACCGTGCTATTTATCGCCTGTTAATTATTTAACATTCATAATTAATTTTGCCCCTGCTTTACCAGCTTACTCTCTTTATCCATTATGTACATATAATGTACGCGTGCGAACTATCTATTGCCTTGATTCATTCCATCGACTTTCTTATCGACTTTTGTAATCTCGAGTATCTTCTTTTTCGTTTAATAAAAGCGATAAACTGTTCGACTCGACGTCGAACGATTGTGTTTTCGAGAAAAAAAAAGGGGCACTCGTATCACTCGAGTTTCACGTCGGTGATTCGACTGAAATTGAGTTTCGACTTCTGCGTCCCACGATAAGACTCCGGGGCTCTCTCGATTAGCGCAAGGAAACGCGAAAACTTCTCGCGGAAATCCACCCGCGTTGTGTTTCGTTTCCCGTCCTGCCCGCTATCAATCATTGCAACGCTCAAGTTGCCCGTGTCGTTCGCGTTTCCCCTGTGCTTGGTTTCTCCTCAAGGCAGAAAGATGAAAACTAAACATTTACTCTCATAGATCTCCAACTTCTTCGACCTATATGCCACGAGATTTATGAAATCTCTGCCAGGACTTCGTTAAAAACCATCCACTCTGGGCTTCTAGATAACGCCACTCGTCGGATATCGATCGAAATTTTTAATCACGTTGCCAAAATAAAAAGAAAGAGAGAGAAAAGAGAACGCGCAAAAATGCTGTCACTTATCCGTCGGATAAAATTTTTAAAAATTTAATAAAAAGGGAACGACCAGAGGAGAAAAATTTCTTTTTAAATCGAGGAAGAAGACACATAGAAATTCTTCTCGTCAATTCCAAATTCATGCGTCGATATTTCTGTTTCTCTTTTTTTTTTCTTTTTTTTATTCTTTTTAATCGCAAGCAACAATGTCGTGTCAGGATTAAAAAAAAAAAAGAAAAGAGCTGCGGCTGTCGGTGAGCTCTCCACTAAAAAAAAAAAAAAAAAAGAGAAAGAGTCTGTTCCATTTTTCTCCGAAAACACGTCGCATAGCCTCAAATTATTGGAGCGAGCAGAAAACTAACTGACCGAACGCATATTGAACGCTACCGAACGTCAGCTCCAAAACAGAATTTATGCCCGTACGAAATGACAAATAATTCACGGCCAGTCCGGTCGCACGGCGAAAAACGCCGTGTGCTCGTATTTAGATCGTAATACAGGGTTTAATGCGACGGATGAATGTATATATATCTGTTTCTAAAATGAAGCATTGTGACTGAAAATCGTGCTATTTTTCGAGAGGGTGGAACGGGGGAGGAATATTCGAACCAGTCACTTAGAACGAAATTAGGATTTCTCGTCACGTTTTCATGGAAATTCGGAACACACACTGAGACACCTGTTTGTGTTACACAAACGCCAACCGTCACGACCGAGACGGTTTCTCGTCTATTTGACAAAACACTTTCGCTTTGTTTCGTCCAAGAAATTTCTTTTCATTTGCCTCTCGTCGTTATTCGTGACGTATCTTATTTCGCCAGACGCTGGAACATTATTTTCGATCCGTCGACAAGAGTCGCGCGACGATCCATCGATTCCTAAATCGATCCGTTCACGAAGCTGCAATAATCTTCGAAATCGAAATTCGTTTGTTGCAAAATTGGCTACGAGTGGAATTGTAAATGGCACGATTCGTTCGAGGCACTCTGTATTAAATTAAAAAAAAAAAAGAGAGAGTGAAAAGAAAAAAAACACGCGTACTCACCTGAGCCGAGTTGGGCCGAACCGGGAACTTTCTTTCGAAACTTGGCAAACTTGACGATAGGCACCGGTCCCACAGATCGAAGAAGATCGAGACACGAGATTGATTCTCTGACGATCGCGGCGATTGTCACGCGAGAGACGAATGCTTGCTTGTTCGGCACGGATCGGATCGGATCAGTGAACAGCAGGAGCGAACAGACGTGAAACACACACGGCACGAGGCGCGCGAAGCGACTGAGCCAGTTCCAAGCGGCGGAGTCGCTGCAGACCAGGCCGACCTCTGCCGAATCGGACGAACGGGTATCGTTCGTGCGAGATCGTAAGGATTCAGCGCGTCCACGTTGCAAAACCACGCTACTTTACGCGGCCCGCGAAATAATCGTGCCAGCGACGTTGAGTAGTCAACACGCGGATCAACCGCGCGCAACGTTCTGTCAAACAATGCGCGATGTTGTCGATCGACCGTGAGAGTACCTCTTGCGAAACGCAGATCGTAATCGCTCTATGCGCGCGCGATTGATAAGTCAAGCTGCTAATGAAATGGAGATTTTTTTTTTAATATGAACTCTCTCTTTCTCTCTTGAATTTGATTTTGTGAAACTGCAGTTGCGATGTTCGCGAAATGTTCGTTGACTTGCGAAAACGACAGTCGCGGATACGTGGAGCGATTTTATTATTGGAGCCGGGTCGATTGAAATTATGGGATCCAAGGTATTTTCATTTTCAGAAGTTTCGGTTTCGTTACACGAAATTTTCATGTTTTTTCTTTGAGACAATTTCTATGAGGTATTGTACAGGTACTGTCGGCCAAAAATCACTCCCTACTGAAACAAATAATTTCTTTTATATTCTTTCCTCGATAATTTGCGAAACCTCCTTCAACATTTTTGAAAGTAACAATTTTCAAAACGTAAGGGAAAGAGTCATGTTTAAACTTGAATTTAATTCGATATTAATTAATCTTATATTTTGATTATTCATTAAAAAGAAATAAATGGGAAGAAGCTTCTGGCCCATTCTGTATTATATAATGAACTAGTACGAACGAAATTTACACCATTATCTAGTTGTTAACGTCATTCGAAATTCATTATTAATGGCAATCGTCTCGTTTTAATTGTTCTAAAATATTTATAGAAATAGAAACGACGGTCACCAGTGGTCATCAACGTGTTTTGAACGAAACGAAATAATCTCGTTACGAGAATCTGCCAAAATTCAAATCCATCCATTGACCGTCGTCGATGAAACGACAGTGTTTTTAATATTTGCGGCTCAGTAGGAAGCACGAAAGAGATAGCGTCGAAGTAGATTAGATTCGATGAGACGATTCGTGACAATCCAACGCCAATAATTCGAATCCTCGTGCTTATACGAGGCTCGAGAGATTTCGTAATCGCAGAGATAAAATCACGGCGGTATTTTGAAAGACTTTGATAATGTTTCGCTTTTCGGGGAATCGAGTCGTGCGATTTTAACGAGGCACGTGATAAATTCGGTTAGGTTTGCATCCACGGTGCACGTGGAATATCGTCGACGTCTCGTGCGAATTCAACCTATCCACTTAAGAGAAGGTTGCAAATTTCCCGCAACAACAACGATAAAAATGAAAGCTACGGACCACGCTGAATTTTTCAGCGGTCGTATTAAAATATGCCTGCACGATTAATCTCTCGCGGCCGAGGGGTCACGATTATTTATTTACGACAAGTGGAAATTAATGTAATAAACAAGCGCGGCGGCGTACAATTTCAAAATGAAAAATAATATCTGTTTCGATGTGTCGCGCCGCGGCTATAACGGTAACCAGCGCCTCGGTTTTTTTCAATTCGCCACGAATATTTCTACTTTTAAAATTGCGTTTTCGTTCCACTTGCCACGCGCGCGAAAAGAAACCGCGAAACGGGTCTCGTTTCGACGAAACGTATATAGGATTTATTGTTAAATTATTTTGTAGATTGAAACTGCATCAGCTCTTAAATGAAATGAAATTTTGTACAACATTATCACCTAATGACAATAATTTGATTTACTGTTACGTAACCTACATTCTAGTTGAATATATTGACATTCAACGTGTTTATTGTTAAATTATATCATAGATCAGTATATTATAATAATAAATATAATATATTATAATATTATAATATTATTATTATTATAATAAATATTAAATTAATATTATAATATTATAATATTAATATTATAATAATATAATTATAATTATAATATTATAATAATAAATATTAAATTAATAAATAAAGTAATAAATATAATATACTATAGATCACTGTATTAACTCCTGAATGAAACAAAATTTTACAATATCATAAACCGACATTAGTCACGGTGATACGTACAGGTTCTTAGACAAACGGCGGTTTGCTGCCGGTCGCTTTTCTAATTACACGTCGATGGCCACCGATGTCTTCGAGTTTATGGGGTCGTGTCGAAAGGAGGACTCGATGGAATTCGTCGGCTCTCGTTGGAATGTGGTGTAAAGGCCGGAATGAAGGTCGAATAAGTCTCTCAACCGGTTGCCGGAGCCCGGTGTCTCCAGCTGGTCATGTTTCCAGTCTAATGGAGTTAGTAAGTGCATGCAAATCTTCCGGCCGTGTTTTAAAGTGACGACAAATTTGAATGGGAACGTGCGAGGAATAATGTTAGAAAATGGAACGGCTGTTTGAGTTCTTCTTTTGTTAGAGGGCTAGGAAAGGATAGCCGATTTTTGAAAATTCGAAACTTTGCTTCTCGAACGAGCAACTTTTTTTCTCCTTTAACTTTTTTTTTCTTTTTTTTTTTTTTTTNTTTTTTTGTAACACGAACTCGTGAAACTGGCGTAGCATGAAAATGCAAGAAGTTTCGATTTAATAAATTAACAAGAATGGATCTTTGATGAAACTTTAATGACGAAACTCTTTATTTCCTCGAGGAGGAGGCCTTACTTTACTCATTAAAAAATTATTAATTGGTGATATTAAACCTTTCTTTTTCTTTTCTTTGTTCTGTTTCGGAGGGAGGTTCTTTTCCGTTTTTTTTTTTTTTTCTTTTCCTTGCTTTCAAACGATCATCGATCTTCGTTTGGAAACACACCGGTGTCTTCACCGGCATCGAAAGTTCGTTATTTCACCGAGACGACGTCGCGTAAAAACGTGATTACAAGTTTCAAAAACGTGATTACGAAAGTTTCACCGTGGCTCCCATCGAAATGCGGGAATCGGGGGCAATCCACGGTCGGTAGCGACCCACTTGCACCTAAAATGTATTGCTCGTATCCGAACCCTATCATCTTCGATCGGCGAGATAGCTTCTCTCCTCGCGTTCGTGCCGACTCTGTGTCAGCGTTTCCTTTCTGTCTCCTCCTCGTGTTTGTCTCCGCTGCATGCAGTCGCAATACCGCCAGACCATTAAAATAATGTCACCAATTTAGCAAACATATAGCGTCCTCCTTTTTTCTTTTTTTCTTTCTTTTTTACCGAGAGGCAATTCTTTTGAAACTGTCACGCTTTCCAAGTGGAAAAGAGCAGGCACGATGTGTGCGCGTGTATTTATCAAATTAAAAGTGCGAGAAAAAAAAAATATGGACCGTTGCTTTTTCTTTCTCGAAAAGAGCATGAAAATTAATATTCGCCAGTTAAAATGCAAAATTACAGGGAAGGAGAGAGAAGACCAGACCTCGTTCCTTGAAATATTTATTCCAATCGGTTTGCTATGCAAACGAGCGGAAGGTTTGGTAGGGTCGGCTGGAATTGGGATCTCCCTTGCGAATCACTCTGAAAACACTTGGTCGAACAGAACGAACTGTCAAGCGAAGCACGTATGTTCTCTAATTACACGCGCGGGACGCGTGCGTACAACGTTTCGAACAAGTCCGAGGCCCCGGTACATCGGTTCGTTACGCACATCGGATCGGGCTACAATTTACATGGTAGTCGCCCACCGTGTCCTCCCTCGCCACGCTTGTACGCGTTAATCGCGACTTATTCCGATTCTTCGATTGTCCTCGCGTCAACGCTTACGAACCTGTTTTCACTCCGAATCGATACCGAATCACTCGGTAACGATTTTGCTGTTTTGTGTTTTTTCGTCGAATCAGGGCTGAAGGAGAGCTGTATATGCATGTACGTGGAAATTAGTTCTCGAATTTGGGATTGAAGGTTGAGAAATATTAATATTTTGGTGGAATTTCAAATATGTACATCTATATAATCTCGTTGAAATTAAAAAATGGTAATAAATTTGGAAATATTTGCAGGAATTTGAAATAAATAGTACATATTATTATTATATATTAGTATTTTACTATATTTATATTATATTATATTTATATTATATTATATTTATATTATATTATTACTATATTATTATGTTATATACTTATTGAAATAGTTTCTGTTTTTGCGCACGTCGAGAATTTCTTTGTCCCAAAATTACAATATTAATTAATTATTTTCTCAGCTTTAAGTATATTTAAGTAAAACAAATAACAAAATTTATTACTTCTCAACAATTTCTATCCAGTGATATCATACCGACGAGTTCGAACAGAAAGCGACGAATTACTGTATACGATTCGGTCACTCGTTATGGTCCGCAATCAGTTGCCAGCGCAAGTGGTTGACTCTTCTGTTTCACAATTTGTTTATCTGTTGTATTTACAATATTTAAACATCGTTGTCTCTAGTACTTTGTCTATGCACACGCGAAATGAAATTTAAAATCCTAAAAAAAAAAGAGACTATTTTGATCCGACGTCCAATTATAATTGAATAATAATATTCCAATTAAAGGTTAGTCCGCGGTATGTTTAATCAGAGGAAAGTGAAATTGGCGAGACGAGAATGAAAGTTGTTACGCACAGGCGTGATAACCAGTGTATCGTCTGTTGCTCTACTCACCGTGACCACTTTCTTCCTTTTTAATTTGAGTGTCACGCATTTGAGCACCGCTCCGATTTATGTAATAACTCGCCATGCGCATACACCCTGTCTCGCTTCGATTCGGTTGGAAATTATCGCCGGAAAAATCGACACTACCGTGTTTCCAACGTTTCCTGCGGAGTTTCCAAGTTCTCACACTCACTCCGCGTGAACGAGACATTTCGAGCAATCGCGTGTCACGTCAAATTAGGAGAATGTACACGGTCATCCGACGCGATGCTCCCGGGCAACAACGTGGGTTAATCGCGATTTCATCTGATCGGGCTTGAATAAACTTGCTTCTGTTTGCTTCTGCTCAACGATGCCTGTTCGTGATAAATTGGCCGCGCGCCGTCTAAACTTTGCACGCTCCCGAGGACCCCGTTGATCCTAATTCATCCCGATGTCAAACGATGAAGCTTCTCCCCTGATGGCACGCGATGCTAAAAAGCGAATGTCACTGATTT